TATACGCAATATTAGTCGTCAAATATCCGGCGAGTGTGATGGCTTCCACGGTAAAATAATTTTTTCTTTCTCCAAGACTATAAAATTCTCTATATATTTTAAAAGATATTTCTAAACATGATAAACGAGACGTGATATCTCTACTATATAAATTTGTAGCTAATCCCGATCGAGTAGCTGTACCTTTGAGTGGTCCGGGTGGAAAGATAGCAGTATTGGAATTGAAGAAAACTGGGAGACTACCGGATGGAGTTATGCCAGCATTGGTCCACGGCGCGACCGTAATGGACTTTCAATGGGATCCGTTCGATAATCAGCGATTGGCAGTTGGTAAAGTTTTGAAAATTATAATGAAAAAAGTCTTATTTTGCATATTAAATTTAAAAGAGATTAAGATACATAAATTTTATTTGTTTGCGTTAGCTTGTGATGACGGAATAATTCGATTATGGGAAATACCGGAGTCTGGTTTAGTAGAACCGACAAACGAACCAAAGCATGTTATAGAAGCTCACACTGACAAGATTTATTTGATCAAATTTCATCCATTGGCATCAAACGTTCTCGCGTCTGCTTCGTACGATATGACTGTCAAAGTTTGGGACCTGTCGCTCTTAACGTCTACCGAAACAGCGATTGCAAAGATTACATTGATCGGTCATACGGATCAAATATTTAGTTTGGCATGGTCACCGTGCGGTCAGTACCTTGCTAGTGCATGCAAAGATGGCAAATTACGAATCTACAAACCTCGATCTAGCGACGTTGTCGTGAAAGAAGGGAAAGGTCCAGTCGGTACGAGAGGTGCGAGAGTTATATGGGCGCTCGAAGGCAGATATCTTGTTGTAATGGGTTTTGATAAGTAAGCATAATACAAATAAATATTTATATATAATAAAAAAGATAAAAAAAAATACAGAAAAAGAAATAACTGTATTCTATATATTTCAGAGTTTCTGAAAGACAAATTTACGTATTTAAAGTGGATAATCTAAATACTCCTTTGAACACTGTTGGATTGGATGTTTCGCCTGCCATACTAATGCCATATTACGACGAGGATAGCTCCACGCTTTTCCTAACCGGACGCGTAAGAGATTTTTTTCTGCAATTAAGCATGTTCTAATCGCATGAGAAAAATTTATTGCAATTGTTATATTATTTTTAGGGTGATTCTACAATATATGCATTTGAAGTAACTGAGGAACCTCCATATTGCTGTCCGTTAAGCCATCACAGGTGCAGTAGTTTACACCAGGGTTTGTCATTCCTTCCAAAAAATAAATGTGACGTAGCCATTGTAGAGTTTGCTTCCGCTTTGAGGCTAACAAATAATACAATAGAGCCTTTGAGTTTTACCGTGCCGCGCATAAAGGTACGTACATGATTAAAAAAAAAAAATATGAAATTTTTGGTATAACCAAAAATTAGCTTTATGATATAAAAGTGTGTTAAAATATTTGCTTATTTAAATCAGAGCGAGTTATTCCAAGATGATCTCTTTCCTCCAACTAAAGTTATCTGGAAGCCGACTTTATCTGCGGCAGAATGGTTTAACGGTGGCAATAAACAGCCATCTAGAATAAGTCTCAAACCACCTGGTATGGATAATTGTAAGTAAAAGATACATTATATTGTGAAAATAGGATGATCTGCTCTCGATTATCTGATCACCCGAATTTTTATTCGTAGTAACTGAGAATCAGTCGCAAAGTGCAGTTACTCCTCCTCAAATCGCAAATAAACCAGCCTCGACCCCTTTCGGTATTTCTGCACAACCCTTCAGTAGACTGGGATGGAATCCAAATATTAAAGCGAAACAAGAAGAGGTGAGAGAGCAATAGAATTGATTCACTTTGCATGTACTTCATAAATAAATATTGCTGTGGAAATTATTTATGGCAGAACAACATATATTATTATAGTAAATCAGATTTAATTGAGAAATAAAATTACGATGCACATTTGAAATTGATGTATATAACTTTCTAATGACATATAGTATTGTAAAATGTGTGACAAATTTGTTATATATTAATCATTCCTCGATCTTATTATTGAATGATAAAACGTGATATATTAGATAATACAAAAAACTATTTTGAAAAGCTTTCTCTATAACATTAACATTCTTATTGTACAAGGTATTTTTACTTTCATTCTATATGATATCATGTGATATGTATGTGCCAGATTCAGAAAACTATGAGCCATTTTGTGGGAGATGTTATTCAATGTTCACTGGAACAAGATCATATGGAAGGCGTCGAGGAACATGAATGGGTAGGTATCTCATTTGTTACGTTTTACATTTTTGTTTACATTTTTGTTAAAATAGCTATTTATTTATTATTAATAGCTTAATTTCTCCATTACATTTTAATAATTGCTATGCTATGTCTACTGACACATTGTATATACAATTACTATTTTTATTTAATATTCTTTATATTTTTGCGCGAAAAAATAACTTGTTTTTAAAGCTAAAGTTACATATTTGCATTTTAATAAAAATAGCAGCAGAAAACAGCAAGTTTTGAAATTGAAAGAAAATTTGTATAAAGTTTATTTGTGAAAATTGACGATGATGACTAATATTAAGATTTGTTATTTTAGGACGAGTGAAAATTGAGGACCTACGGATAGATGCAAACTGGTAAAACAAAAATCTGAACGTGGTTGTTGGAGTGCCGTAAATTATTTATAAGTTAAAATTATATATCGAAAATGGCACAAGAACATCGCAGTATTACTGTGTATAGAGAGAAAGGGATGCGAGAATTGTATCTGAGAGATATACTTCCAACAATTTTCTTTTTGAGGAGGTAAGCGATAAGTACAGTGTTTTATATCAATTTATAACAAGTAATACTCATTTTTTCATAAACCTAGCTTAAGATTTTTGTAAACGCATTTTTCAACGCATAGAAAAATAAGAATCCAGGCCTTGTTATAAATATTAATTTAAAATAAAAAAAGTAAAAATTAAAAAGTGAAATGAAGCAAATGACACGAGTGATTTATAATCTTTGACAATGTAATCAATGCAGTATTTGATATACAGTTCAGCATTGATATGAAAATACTGTTCTTATAAAACCAAATACGTGATTATAGCTCTAGTCTCAAATCATTTTTCTTCAACTAATGATTTCTCATACATTTCTAGCTACAAATAATTCTATAGTATTATTATCACTATAGAGATTATATATATATATAGATATAGAATATGCTTATATGTCAAGAGAATTGAAGGAAACTTATATAATACGATTTGACAATAGCTTCTATCCATTTAATGAATATCAGTTTGGAAGTTTAGTGGATGAGTAATTCTTCTTAGAGCAAATATGCTAGTATATTCATTACGCTTTCAGTACCAAGTGTGAACAAATATCAATTTTATCGGAGACAATTATTGACGAGTATTTACTTATTTGCTGGAAATCAAATGTGTGTTAGAATGAAGGATTTTCTGTGTAAATCAGGAAGAAAATTCAAAATATGTGCCATTTGCGAAGTGACAAACATCTAATTTGCCACTAATAGAAAGAAAAAAACTAGTATTATATCAATATTAGGTCTTTAAATGTAATTATTCCTCTCGATGAAGTCAACATTCCTTATTTAACCTATGCTGCACAAGTGCCAGATTTATCTTCATTTCGGTAATGCCAAGTGTCAATAATGGTCTCAATGTATATGTCATTATTATAATCTATCATCGTATATATATATGTGATAATAGAGCAAGCAAGACACTGTCGTCGCAGAATTGTGAAACAGAGGTTTTTTTACGATATTTCATATCCTTATACGCACATATAAAAAAAAGAACATTATACAAGATAACTGATAAATGCGACGCGTAATAGGTATTAAGTCGTAAGCCAATAACTTAATCGTATTGCGAACTGTATTACGTCTCGATTGATGTATTACATTGAGCACTCTGCAAGATTCAAACGATATTAACTTGGAGAAAATGATTGGTCTCCTTTATACTTTTCTTATCAGATAGAATACTATAATTAATAATCGATTGTTTTTGTCTTTTTACACGAATATTTAGATCAGAATGTTTTGTTTTTTTATGTGTTATAGATTACAAAAAGTAATAATGTTACGTATTAATTAAAAAACAAGTTTAAATAATTAGCAATTTATAAATCCCAACATCATTCTTTTTTTGTAAAAAAATTTTTTATTGCGATGAAACTTTTTCACCATATACTATACACATTGGCATATGAATATACTTGAAGATTAATATAGTGCCAAAAATCCATTACCAATGATATTTTTTGTATCTTGCATATTTTAGGTCTATAAGATGTAAGATGTTTCAAAAAGCATTCGAAAGTATTAACAAATTTTCTAAACCTGTGTCAAAGATGAAGAATAAGATAAATTTTCATTAAAATTTATTGTTGCTATTTATATCGTCCATACTTCTGATCTTTATATGAATGAATGAGGAAAATAGATACGACAGTATTAATATTTTTATGTACCTTTTTTATTCGACTATTCGCGCGCGTGTATTAAATATTTTGCACAATTACAATTCAGATTTTTAACTATTTTGCAGTTTTTTAAATCTGTTTATGTGACCAGAGTACGAATAATTGAGCACAATCTTTTACAGCATAAGATTTACGAGATGAAGATCTGATAGGAATGTACGAGACACTGAAAGTTTTTCGCAACTCGATCTTCTGCTCTGTAAATGATCGCTAAATAATTTTATATCATATAGTAATATACCTTTATATCAATCTTATACCATTCATGTATTTCAGCTATAAAATCTTTTTATCAAACATCTTTAATCACATTTAATTCTAATATCCATTTCCAATGTTCTCCGTCTAAACACGTTATATTTCAGAGAGGTATAAAATAAAAAAACTTTTATTAATTTTTTATGTAATTATAATAAAAATTTTTATATTAGAATCATAGACTTTTAGGGAGCAGAACCATTTTTACATCAATTAGTTTAGAAAACGTATATGGAATGTTTTTATTGTGAATAAATGTAACTTTTCATATAATCGTGTGATATATACAATTTTATAATATTTAGCAGTAACTTATGTTTTTCTTTCTTTTATTATTTACGCTATATGCGCAAAAAGATGTAGTCAAAATAAATATACAATATTATATGAATTATTTACTATATCCAACACGATCTCTGGGAATCAATCTGAGTTCCATGCCATGTTTGAGAAATACATTGCCTGAAAACATATACAATTGATCATTGTATATATAAAATAGAGATATCGCAATATATTAGAAAAAAAGGATTACCTGCAGTTTGTTGAGGATTGATTCCTATGCCATCATCTGTAATTATGGCTGATGTAGCTGCTGGCACTCTAAATTCCTCAGCAGCAAATTGTACTACAGCACTAAATGGAGTAACTTCTGGTACACTAAGTCTGCAATTAATGAAATAATACATGCATTTTTTATTTTAGAGATATTAAAAAGAATTGCAGAGATATTAAGGAAATTATATAATGCAAAAAAAAAACCGTGTATATACAAAAGTAAAGATATTTCTCTTATGTAATATTTTCAATATTTCTTAATATAAGAATGTGGTAATATTTTATTTTGTTAACAAGACAGATTTATTTGCAATAGAAGCAATTTATTTAGTCCTTTTTCTTACAAATTTTGTTATACAAAAATAATAATTTGTTGTTATATATAAATCATATATTAAATCTGTAAAGTCAATTCAAAATATCCATTTCAATATTATTCCATATCTCATTATCTGGTTGAGTTTTAACAACAGACATTCTATTGTACACAAGTTCACAAATTACACGAGGACCACTTAATAAAATTTTCATTATCTTACAGAGATGTTTATATTCAAATTTAAAATCTGAGCACCATTTTCCATCTACTAAATACATATTTCGACCAAAATAGAATATTGCATCAATAAAATCTATGCAAAAGCAATTGTCTTGAAGTAATTTTAAAAGTAGTTTCTTCTCAGTATTTGCAAAAGCTACACATATTTCATGATCATAGTGAATTAGCTTTGAACTAAAAATTTGTATAATTAATTTTCTAATTACATCATCATGCGATTCTATTGATAAAAGCACCAGTCTTGAAACATGACCATCATTTAGCATTTTGTTTATACATTTTGCTACTTCACTTTGATCTTTATTAGCTATTGCCATTTGCCATGTCATAATTAATGCCTCATCTTCCATATTAGGCAGTGGTACTCCTAATTCTTCTAAAGACTCTATAACCATATTTGTGGCAAGGGATTTACTTATTACTTGATTCAGGAAAGCATTTAATCTGTCACAACCAAAATGTTGACTGTATAATTTTAGATATTCATCTACTATTTCAGTGGGAATGTAACTATCCTTTAAATAACGTTCTAATAATTTATCACAAGCTTTCTCCAAATCAGAGCACGTGATGTTCCGATTTTGTGGAAATAATTTTCGTTCTGATTTGCAACGCAAATATTCTTCAAATGTCAATATTTTCTTTTCAGCTTGTATTTTTTTAATTGTAACTTCAATGAAATAAGCACAATTAAAAGCTTGTATCATGTTTTCCACAGTCATTTGTTCACTAATGATTGGACTTTGCAGCAGTGTGAGAAACACATCAATAGTCTTAAAAACTTCAGAGTCGACAGCTTGCATTCTATTGTAAGTGATTAAGGCACAAAATTTATCCTAAACAGCCACTTACACTTTATATGGCAGCTTGGGATCAGACGTGAGAGTTATTCTGAAAGTAACTTTGTTCGACCTGGAACATATAATATTTTGTATCAGCACATTGCATTGTATTCTGTGTTCAATAGGAAATGTCAAATTGACAGAACATATGGTTTCATCAAGATTAATGTATGTTCTGGATACATTCGATCTTTCTAATTTAATATTATAAAAATTGTAGAAAGTACATACGCCATAGTTGCTCAACGAATATATTGTATAAAATATGATAAAATAGTTCCAAATGCTATCCAACTGTAAACACTTGTAAATGCTTGCAACTTTCAGTAAGACTTAACCTCTATTTAGGAAAAGTAGGATGAAACAACCATTGGCTACAACTAGAAACCTAACAGCTAACAGCTGCGCGTAAATTGCAACGCACCTACTGGCAACCTCATACAACTATAATTGGACAATCACGATTTGGTATTGCGATGTTACAGATACAGAAATTCTTTAATTATTTTCAGTTTCGCTCTTGATGGTCATAAAATCTATATATTTTTATTAAATACAGCAAGCTTGTCCAACCTGTTTTAAAGTTGACTAAAATGTGATCGACAGACATACATTGACCAATGAGTTGGGCAGACTTGCAAAATACAAAATCTAACATATATATATATACGTAAGATTTAAAATTATTTATTATTAACTGAGATACAAAAGACTCATAGTTTTTTATTCTTTTACATTAAATAATTATGAAATATAAAAGGTCATGAATACAATTTCATATACTTTACACTGAAATGCAACTGTGAACTTGAAATATATCACATTTTGTGTTTTTACATCCATTATAAATAGACAATTTTTTACATATTATGTTACATGATACTTTTGCTTATGTACATTTTTGCTTACTCGCTCGTGATATTCTAAACAGATTCAATAGAGGTACTTTCATAAAAATGTGGAGCTGCTTCCAATAACATTTCTGGTTGAATAACAGTCAAATCCTTCATATAAGTTTTATTTGTTTGCAAAATTTCGCAAAACAATAACCTAGAATAAGATCATAGAATACAAAAATAAGAAAGTCAAATACAAAAAATTCTAATAAATACAAAGAATTTTTCTAGTATTTACCATTGCGGTTGTTGCAGAGTATACAAGCAGCTATTTGGATGAATATATAAATCCTTGTTACCTCGAACTGTTCTGTACACACCTGTATAGTGTAAATATGCCGCTTTAGGAAAAAGACCAGCTGTCAGACACTTGAGAATTTGTTGAACATTTCCTAAAAGATCGACAATAGTTATATTTTCGATCAGAATTTAATAGAGATTACATATCTCTAATTAAATTTAAATTCTACCATTGCAAGAAGTTAGCGAAATGTCCAAACGTTTCAACATCTTATGCATCTGCATGCGAATTTCTGTGGCTCTCCGCAAAGCTTTGTGATTGAGAAAATATTTCTGGCACCAGGCAGGCGTTTTATTCTGTTCAAAAGCTGTATAGACATTTAGAAAAGTAAGAAGATCTCCCTCTTCCACCTCAAACTTGCGATGCGCTATTCTCGCTTTTAGAGCCGCTTGTCCTCCACCGGGTTGTATAAAGATATTTTGTACTTGCAGCATGGCTAATATCGTTGTGATCTCAACAGAACATCCCATTTCACCTATCACCCCCATAAACAAAAAATTTATTGCCTTAATTATAATTTCATCCTATAGCTATATATTTTAGAGATTGAGAAAAGAATTCTGATTTTACTCGATTTGATATTTAAAATAAATTTTTTTCATTATTACCTACATTATATTTTTATGCATTACTCTAGAAACTTAATATAATTGTTAATATAACTGCTTTTACCAGAGACGATTAAGGATTTTGCCAACACTGGTTCCAAAGGCATCTCCGCCATCGTCAAGCCTAACGGTGTCGTTAAATCGCCGTTATTGTCGATTGCACCTAATGCGTAAAGCAACTCTAATCCCGTGACTAAATTCTTGCTTGGCGGCGCAGATGGAAAATTGAATCGCAACACGTTGTCGATGCCCAGTGCTTTCAATTGCAGAATTGCCGGCGCTAAATCCGATCGTTGCATTTCCGGTGGAGTAGCCTCGAACAATCCAGCATAAGCTTCTTCCGTATATAATCTATTATAAGATCGTAAAATATTTTATTATAGCTTCTATAATCACAAGTTTAATCATGATAAAATAATATTATATATCTTAATTACTTATGAAAATGTATGAAACGCATGCAAGTATTTGCTTGTCTCCTTACTTTACCTAAATGCTTTTCCTGTGCGAATGCGACCTGCGCGGCCGGCTCGTTGGTCGGCGGAAGCTTTCGATACGGGTACGATAACAAGACTATTCGTCTGTGTTTCCGCTTCAAACCAGGGTATCTTGACGAAACCGCAATCGATTACTGCGCATTACAAATTCACAGTTACGTTATGTCATCGAGTCAAAAGCGTCGAGTTACTATCTAAAGAAAAAAAGAGTGCATAGCTACCATAAACGATATTTGGAATGGTGATAGACGTTTCCGCAATGTTAGTCGCTACGATAACTTTGCGAGTGTCTTTGGCGACTCTCCAGAACACCTTCAGCTGTTCGGCATTTGGAAGCGATCCGTACATCGGCAATGGAATCAGTTTCTCTGATAAATAATATATATTATTCGTTTCAGAGAAAAGAGAAAATAGACTGTTAATTTTATAAAAAAATCATCAATATATTAAAATTTTCTTTTTTCTCTAACAAGGTGTCGAGTAACTATACAAGTTTTCGGATCTCTCATTACATTGTCACCTTCACAATAAATAATGGGAAATATCAAAATAGCATAAAGAATTAATTTAAAGTATTGCTAAAAAAGATTACAGGTTCGCTAATTGCTCAATCATCCACTTACGTTTACCGTCTTTTATGAGCTTCGCATGTTCCGACAAGAGAGAGACGGCTTGATCGACTTCATCGAGTCCCGTGAGAAACGTCAGGATGTCGCCCGATTCTTCCATTTCATGTATTTTTAGAACGGTGTCTACTACGCCGTTAACGTAATTTGCCACTGGCTCTGTAACACGATATAACCTTAATTAAATAATAGAAGAGTCATGACGATGAATGAGTCGCGAATTGTGTTCTATGTATACCTTTCAAAAAGAAAACATCTACCGGATATAATCGCCCCTCGACGCTCATTATAATAGCGCTATCTTTGCTCGAGTCTTTGGTCGTATTTATATTAAAGAAGTCTCGAAGTTCCTCCGCGTCAACTGTCGCCGATGAGACGATAATTCTCATACTCTTCCGTTTCTGCAACGATTAATTCAAATTTATCGAGTTTCGTGCGAGGGAACTTACATATCTCAATAAATATCTCAGTAGATTTACCCTGATTATTTTTTTCAGTAATCCCATTATAATATCAGTTAAGAGCGTTCTCTCATGCACTTCGTCTAAGATAATAACTGAATAGCTTGTCAATAACGGGTCACTCATTAATTCTCTTAGAAGAATACCCTCTGTCATGTACTATAAAGGGTAATTTACGTCTTACAGTATCTTCATAATAAAATAAATGTTAACTGTAAAATAAACACTGATATTCTGATTTATCATAATATAAATTATACGTGAAATTCAAGTATGAGAGAAAGAACTATGTTCTTTCGCAACAAATTAAAACTATCCTTCCGAGTAAAAATCATATTTGCGTTGTATTTGTCTCACGATATCGCACCTTAATCTTGGTCGTTTCATCGGTATAATCATCGAAGCGTATGCAATAACCGACAGTGGTCCCTAGAATACAATTGCGTTCGTCGGCCACGCGATTCGCTAGAGAGGTGGCTGCGACTCTTCTGGGTTCCGTGATGCCAATCTTTTTTCCGTCTGCGCACCATCCTGCTTCAAGAAGGTACTGGAGGAATAATAAATATAATTTATACATATTGTGCGATATTATTTCGTTTCAAAACATTTTATTATATATCAAAAAATATTAATTGTTTGATGCGTATGCAATAACCGACAGTGGTCCCTAGAATACAATTGCGTTCGTCGGCCACGCGATTCGCTAGAGAGGTGGCTGCGACTCTTCTGGGTTCCGTGATGCCAATCTTTTTTCCGTCTGCGCACCATCCTGCTTCAAGAAGGTACTGGAGGAATAATAAATATAGTTTATACATATTGCGATATTATTTCGTTTCAAAACATTTTATTATATATCAAAAAATATTAATTGTTTGATGAAAATATGGATGATATACATATGTATATTATTGTGTATGTATATAAATTAATTAATTGCTATTACTATATGTATATAGAGGTGAATATATACACCATTAAAAAATTATATTTGTGTAATTCTGGAAAATCTATTGTTACAATATGGGATTTTTTTAGGCAGAGAAGGTACACAGAATGAACACATATTTCAGAAATTGTTTATATAAAAACATCTTATTGTACATTTTTGTTATATAAAAATATACAAGACAAGAATCGGGCCGTTATAATAAAATTCGACGCGGGAAACCTTATATATCTCGAACGCAAACTATCGACATTGATTGTCGGAGTATTGCGAAACTTAGTTTTTTTCCTTTCGTACACGTAACAAGTTTTTGCGAACGTCCATTTTATTCGTGTTGCAGTTAGGTAACACTCTTGGATTAGATAAAAATGCGTAACTGCAATCAATAACTGACCTATTTAAATATAGATACAATGCGATTGTCTTGTAACAATAAAAAAAAAAAAAGAAAAAATTTTCAAATGTTTCTTTGCGAGAACTTTGGCTTTAGTTTAAAAAATGTTTATATTATGCGCATTGAAGG